AAGCGGTTTTAGGGCTGAACCGGAGCGGCCTTGTGACCGGTTCACGGTCGAACCAGCCGGTCCGGTCCGATTTTTAAATTAAGAAACAATTTGGTTTTTAAAGGCCTATTCTCAGTTTGTCATGAGTCATATTTATTTAACTGGGGTCGAACCGGATAACATAATATATGATACTTTTTTTTTTTGTAATTTTTGGGCACTTGTGCAAATCCTTAAGAAATTGACATATGTTGGTACAAAATGAGGATTTTGAAATTATCAAGTGTATATTTTGTAAATTGATTTCATCAATATTTTCTAAATAAAATGATTTATTTTATGAATATTTTTCTTTTTAATTTCTGAAGCTCCAAATGAATTTCCTAGTTGTATTTTGTAATCGATTAACCATATAACGCCAACGGATAGAGGGTGATGACTCTTAATGATTATTGACAAACTTGCTGTAATCAATATTGATTAATTGAACAAGCGATAATAAATATGACTAATGACAAACTGAGAAGAAATTAGGGCAAAGATGTTGAAAAACACCACATTAAATCTGAAAATGATGCATTGCTTTTCATAATTATATTCATTATCATATTTACCATATAATACATTAAACTAATTGATAATATATTAAACTGATTGACAGATTTATAGCTCATTCTGGCATTAATATTGATACAAAATTGCATTAAATACTAATATGATTCATTGGTCTATTTGATAGTTAATAGTTCTCTTTTGGCTTTACTAATCATTGATAGTTGATAGATCTCTTTTAGCTTTACTGATCATATTGATTTTATTATTAATTTTTAAAAAATTTAATTTATTGCTCATATTAAATGATGATTGATATTGACTAACATACATATTGATTATTTTACCTTGCATTGAAAACAAAGATAAAGTTTTGGTTACTTACTATATTTTTATGTTTATTATGTTATTTTAAATTATTTTAGATAAGGAGCCTACAACTTGAGGTTGTATAGTAATGCTAGTATAATTAAATTATTATTATTATTTTTTTTTGCATTTTATTGATTTTCTTTATTGCGATTAATCAGCTATGGATGTCCGTATTAATCTGGTTGATTAATGAATTAATATTATATACAGATAGAGAACATAAAAGATGTTCTTCCACTTATATCTTGGGATGTGACAGGAATAATGATCGAAGGGTTGCAGTTGGGTGACAATAGTCAGAGTAATGTCATCACATAGTAATTAGAGCACCATAGTTGAAGGATCGTAGCTGGATGAAGATGATTAAAAAATCATAATCGGAGACGTCAATTATAGAAGGAATGCAGTTTGATAATTGTGTCAGAATACAATAGTTGGATGACGATGCACAATGATTATAGTTGAATGACGGCAGTTGAACGATCATTGCCAAGCGAGGGTGATATCGCTACATAACTTATATTCACACTTGTCAGGATTATGATCCTTTAATAAATTTCTTTCATAACTTATGTTCACGCTTGCTTAAACTTCAATTACATTTGCACAGTCATATGCTTCAAATCACTCTCATTGATATCACTGCATTAATTGTTTTGCTTAATGTTCTTATTATTTATTTTTTCAATCCTTGTTTAGACATTATAATTAATTATAATATTTCAGAATTACAAGGTCCAAAATATAATAATAATAATAATAATAATAATAATAATAATAATAATAATAATAATAATAATAATAATAATAATAATAATAATAATAATAATAATAATAATAATAATAATAATAATAATAATAATAATAATAATAATAATAATAATAATAATAATAAGCTTCTTCAGATTACAAATATAAGTATCATCAAAAAAAATATCAAAAAAAAAAAAAGATTTATAAATTTATAATTATATTATCATTTTAATAACTGAATTTACAAAATATATATTAATAAATTATTATAAAACCATTAGATTTATGTCTAATATTGTAAAATGATTGAATTTATGCAAAACATCTAATTCTTTCCTATTTCTAATATCTAAATCAGTAAATCTCTTCATCAAAATTATTTAAATTATTATTATATTATGTGATCCATGTGACATTTTTAGTGTTTTTTCTATTAGAAATAAAATTTGTATTTTTCTCATTCATAAAATGTATTTTGCATTTATTTTTTGATGATTTATGATATTAAAGTTTTATAAATACAATTTCTTTAAATAATCAAGTTATATCATAAATATAAAAAATTGAAAAAAATAATAATAAAAAAAACTAGTTAGGTGCATACCATTTCTTTCATTTAATTGCAACAACTCAATTTATTCTCAAAGCCTTCAGTGCCGCTAATGCCTTCAAGATGAAGAAAATGTCAAGTTGGGCCAAATAATTTATGCAACTACGTAATATTTGGATTGTTAGAATAGGCCTTTCTCCATAAATTTGTCATTAATTATTTGGAATGCGTGTAACATTTTATAATATTAGTTGTGAGGTTGCCCTGAGTTTATCCAAAAATAAATAAACAAATAAATACAAAATCTTTGCTATTATGTAGGGGTGTCAATATTTGACAGGATTCGAAACTCAGCCCGCACCTAACTCAAAAATTTTCGGATTCAGATCAACTATTTGCTAGACGGGTTAGGTTCGGGTTGACCCGAAATCCAAAATCAACCCTGGTTGACCTGGAAAGCTTGCCTACCTTGCTTGCCATTCGTCGAACTCTGGACTCCGTAGTTTGGACCAAGACCTGTCCCGAGACTCCCGTGTTCGCCTCTCTTCCAGACTTCGCTGGATGCCCTTCAGAATCCTCATTGCTTTCATCCGCATCATTGTCGGCCTCGTCGTCCCCATGCCTTTTTACCTGATCCTTTCCATGATCCGCCCATTCGGTGGCATGGTCATCGTTCGTGGCTGCCCACCCCCTCCCTCCTTCCCCTCTGCCTCCAACGAGAGCGGCGTCCTCTTCGTCTGCACCCAATGAACTCTAATGAAGCCCATTGTCATCGCCATGGTCCTCAGCCGCCAGATTCCATCCGTCACCTATTCCATCTCTCGCCTCTCAGCACCGGCTCAACTGCGACCGCCGAATAAATGCCACCATGATCCACATCAAGCTAGAGAAATGTGATCTAGTGGCTTGCCCATAAGGAACCACCTGTAAGGAACCCACACCAGAGGACCATCTAGTGGTTTGCTCGGCTATTCGTCTCGCGTCTAGACTCTATAGTCCATGATTCGGGTTCGCACTACAACGTGCCTACCATTTCTAGGTTTGTTGATCGGGTCGGGTCAACGCGATAACCTGGTGGGTCGTGTATGGGTATGAATTTTCGACACGTTTATAAAACCGGATTGGGTTCGGGTCTACCTATTTAGACTCGGGTTTATTCTGGATTTGACCCGAACCCGACCCAAAAACTTATTTTGACACACCTAATATTTTGATTAAAAATATGGTAACAAAATATTTATTATCTGTAAAATGAAGCAACTATAAAGCTGTGGCAAACTGATCCTAAATCTAATACTCTTATAATGTTGGTTGCGTTACTTGTGTGCGGTCACAACTATTCCCATACTTGGTGCTTATGGTGATATATTAAGGAGCAACATATAAATGTAAAATTTAAGGAGTTTAAAAGTTAACATATTTTGCTTCTTTCGAAAATGCAAAAAAATATTTTGTGTTTTCCTTAGAAATGTAAAATATATATATTTTTTACATTAAAAATTTTAGTTTTTGTTTTGCAAATGTTTTTGTTAGTGCTTTTCTTGTTATTTTTAATCTTTTTTTTTTTTGTTAAAGTTATTTTTTTATTTATTGTTAAAGATATTTTTATTAATGTTAAATTTTAACTTTTAATCTCATCATATACATACTAATGATATGGTTCATTTGGTCCTGTGAACGTATGTAGAGCTACGTTCGGCCGGCACTAAGATCGCAGGCACAAAACGAGAAATACCGAGCAATATCAACAATAACGAGAAATACCATTATGTGAAGACGAAATACCGATTAATACCGAGCAATACCGAGTAATCCCAAAAAATACCGAGTTTTTTCTAGAAAAACTTGGTATTTTTTGGGATTACTCGATATTATTCGGTATTGATCTTCACAGAGCGATATTCCTCATTATTACCAAACAA